AATATTTAAATCTATTGCATCAGATTTAAGAAGTCTTAGTCTTATAAAAAATGAACAAATGTATCATACTAAAATTGTTCACCTTATTGATTCTGGGTTTATTCAAGAATGTAATTTGGAAGTTTATCGAAATTTAACTTCTACGTATATTTCTTCAATAACAGAATAATTGATTTTCTACTTTTTTTTAATTTAAACATTTTATATTAAATATCTTTGAATGAAAAAATAAACTCAAGAATGTTCAAGAAATAATCTTTTATAGTACTTCAGTTTTTATTTAGTCTTAATACCAATCATCATAACACCAATCATCACTTATTTGTCTCCCATATATTTCATTCTCATTACATATTGGGTCACCGTATAAATCAAAGTCATCAACTTCATATTGAACTTGGAATGGAGACTCTTCTAATGGACAATTGAATTTTTCTGTATATTTATCTTCAACTTTGTACTTAACAAAGTCATGTCCTTTCAATTCAAATAAAGCATCTCTCAAGTAAAAGTGATGAATTAACATATCCCAAACTTTAGATCCTATTAATGTTTGAATATTACCAATAACTATTAGTCCACATTTAGCTCTTGTTAATGCAACATTTAATCTTTTATAATCACTCACAAATCCAATTCCAAGAGTTTGGTTTGATCTAACACAAGAAAAAATAATATATTCTTTTTCATTTCCTTGAAATCCATCAATATTAGCAACTTTAATTTTTGTAGAAATGTATTGAGAAATAAGTTCTTGTTGAGCCTGATATGGTGAAATAATTCCTATTTCATTTTCTTTAACCTTATTCTTCAACAAGCCATCAACAATCTGTTTTATTATTAGAACTTCTCCTTCATTATTATAACTTGTTCCACTACTTCCATATTGTTCTCTTCCATCACAATTAATAAACATTATAGGATTTGTATAATCTGGGAAGAAATTAATAATTCTACTATCAAATCTATCTTCATTACTCACCCCATTCTCTAATTTAGAAGAATAAAACATTTTATTTGAAAATTCTACAATTGCTGGATGCATTCTGTATTGTGTTTTTAACATTGTTCTTTTGATTTGTGTATTTGCCATAAATCGTTCAAACATTGATTTTTGGAATCCAGCTTCTCTAGCCTCAGTTGAAAGACATGTTGGTTGTAATTGTTGAATATCTCCAATTAAAACTGCTTTTCTAACATTAATAATTCCAGCCAATGTTTCTGGTTCAAGAGATTGAGCAGCTTCATCAACAATAGATGCAAAAAATTTTTGTTTTAATATTGTTGAACGAGTACAAATAGTGAGTGTAGAACAAATACATTCTATTCCATTTAATATCTCATCAAAATAATCTGAGATGAATTTGTTAATATACTCATTCTCATTAAATGTTATTCTTTGATTGACTCTATCAAAAACTTCTTGTATATTTGGATTAGTTTGGTTGACAAAGTTTTCAAACGTTCCATAATTCATCTCATTTCTTGGGTTTGATAAATATTTTTCATAACAAATTTGAACTCTTCTCTTTTCATCTTCTGTTAGATATTGTCCATATTTTTTCTTTAGTAACTCTCTTATATTAATTATTATTGATTCTTCCAATTCATCATCTAATTCATCATCTGAAACATTTAAATCATTACCTATTTTTTTATTTTTTCTTTGTTTCTCCAATCGATGTCTTTGTTCTAAAACTGGGTCATTAATAATAATCTGACCATAACTTGTTATTGACAACATTTTAATTCCTCTTTTTTCTGTAAATTCTATTGCTTTTTTTAATAATGAATGTTCTCGTATCTTATCACTACAGTTTTCAAATTGATCATCTGCAACTATTCTAATTGTTGGAATTCCTTTTTCAATAAGTTTTGAACAAATAACATCAACAGCATTATTGCTTGATGCACAAACTAATAGTCTTCTTTCAGCTCTATTTCTATTATAAAATCTATGTTTGTTATAAATCAAATATTGTGCAATTGAAACAGCAACTGTAGTTTTACCAGTTCCAGGTGGTCCTATTACAAGTGAGATGTCTTCATTTAGAGCATTGTAAATAGCCTTAATTTGGTAATCATTTAAGTTAGATAAATTAGGAATATTATATTTATCTGTTAATATTTCATCATAAGTTATTGTATCATTTGTTTTTCGGTCTTGGTGATTGTTACAACACAATATTTTTGAATAATATCCATCAAGGTCTCGTTCTTCTAATGTTTCTAGTGTTCTAATAAATGGATTTCCTTTATCATTAGTAAGAAAATAAATCCTAAATAATGATGTTTTCTTCACTATTTCTTCATCATATTTCCATTTTTTCTCATTTGTCGGATATTTCCTAGTAATTTGACCTGTCTCATCATCCCTACACTCTGTTCCAAAAAGAAAATCTTGTAATCTAACAGTAACTGTTTTACCTCTACTTGAAGTAATGTTTCCTCCAAATACACATTTTGATGATTTAAAGATTAAAGATGGAAATAGTTTTATTTCTATTGAATTTGTGTCATTAATCATTCCTTTTAATCCACCACAACTAATAATTACCTCGTCTTCTAACTGAAGACCTCCAATAGCTTTATAAAGGTTAATCTCTACAGCTGTAAATGTTGGGTACTTGAAAAATTTAATATTTTGTTTTTCTTGTCTTAATTCAACTTCAACTACTCTACGATCTTCTTTCTTTTCAACTCTAGACAGATATAAGTATGTCTGAACATAATCTTTAAGTGTTTGATATTCATCTCTAACTCTTTTGTTTGTTTTTTCTTTTGGGAATTGAGATTCAATATTATCAACTAAATCTTGTTTAACACAAGAAACAGATTGACCAACTTCATAGTTATCTATTATAACAGCACCTTCATTAACAATGCTCTTAGTGTATAGTTGTTTGGTTATTTTATTGTTCTGGCGTTTTAAGCAATGAGAACATAAGAAATTTTTTGAGTTATATTTATAATGAAGATTATATATATTTGTTTCTTCACATTGAGAACATTTTAGCACAACTCCATCAAAAGAGATACTAAAATGGGAATTAACTCTCATATGATAAAGGAGTTGGCATATTCCAGCATTCATAATTTTACCATTACAAAAATATTTACCACATTGACACTGAACAATACCAGTTGTTTCTCCACAGTATTCACAGTGTTTTTCTTCCATTAATATATTTTAATTTATTAGATTATATTTATATTAAAATTTTTGCATCATTCTAGTCAAAAAACTGTACCATTTGCATCACAGTATTTGTTTTTTATTATAGAAAAGTTATTTTAGTACTTTTTAGAATAGGAGTTAACTGCCTCTATTACCCTATCATAACTAACAAGAATAACATTGATATAAACTCTCTATAACAGGAGTTATTATTGAATAGAATAAAAAATTTTGAATCTTATATATTTTTTTTTTACATTTATTTAGTTTATTGTATGTATCAACTAATGGCTTAACAAAATATTTCTTTTAAATTTAAGAAACAAATAATTAATAAACTATTCTTTTTTTAAGAAGAACAGAGTAAAAAAGTATTAATTAAAACTGTTTTTTTATTATTAATTTCAAATTCAAAAAAATTTATATTTATAATAGAATTAAGTCTCAACATTCCCGAACAAAAACTGTTATTACCTTTTTTGAAAAAAAAAAGAAAAATATCTTTTAGATTTAGTAGTTAGATTTTATAATATTGAAAAATTCCCTTTTTATCCAGTATATTCTAATTCTATACTTATTTATTTTTAATATCTTCATATTACATTATTCATGTATTATATTTATTCTTATAATTTAATATTCAAAAATAATATAATTAATTGTTTCATATTTGTATTACTTATTTTTATTGGTTGAATTTATTTCATTTTTATTAAATTTATTGATGGGAAAATATTAATTTTTTTACAAATACCATTTTTTATTTTTATATTATATTTAGTCTATTTCTTATATTACTTTATTTACTACTCATTCAAATACTTTCTTTACATCTTATTTTTTCAATTAATTGTATTACATTCATATATTCATTGAAGCCAGGCTTCTTACCAAACATTTCTTTATTCTTTTAATTATTCAATTTAGATTCTCTTTTATTATTTTTATCCTGTGATTATTTCGATATTTGATATTTATGTTTTAAATAAACTCTTAAATTCTTTAGAAGATTCATTTTATGATAAAACTGGTATTATTCTTAGTTTATTTATTGAATTATATAACTAATTTCCATCAACAGTTCTTGTATACAATTCTGTTCTTTATATTTTATATCATTTAATATTGAAATAATGTATAGCATTATTTTCTTTGATTTTTTTAATGAATTAATAATATTTATATTATCTGGATATTTTCAGTATATATTATTTATATTTTTGGTATAAAATAGTATCTTCTCCATACTGGTGATGTACATCTCATTTCTTATATTTCTCATTGACTAAATATTTTAAATTCTTCTTTTATTCTTTTCAGTATTAACCTTGTATTTTTATTTTTGTTTCGTATTACCTTATTATTCTTTACATCCTAATATGAATTTATTTCTATAGTATGAAATATCTATTAAAACTGATGCTATCAAATACTTATGAAAATGAAATCTATCGAAACAAACGTATTAAGGAAATGATTTTGGGAAAAATTTATTATAACTATTTTTCCGATAAAAAGTATTAAATTATTTATAATTAATATAATACCTATTTTTATTCATTCTAAAACTGTTAACATTTAATTGTCAGTATTGACTCTTCTTTTTTATTAAAAAGATGCCTTAAGTATTTTTCTAATCTCCTGTTGAATTGATTATTTACTTTTGAAATGATTATAAAGAATTAAAAAAGAAAAAAGAATAAATTCTTCATTGGTTCAACAATAAAATAAAGTTTTTGTTTTTTTAATTGTTTCACAATTTTTAGGATATTAATGAAAATGCTTATTATGAAAGTACTAATATCTTTAAAATAATCATATTATGAATTTAGGCAAGATTGACTTGACTCTATCAACGGTGAGACCTTATTATTTGTATTACCCTCGTGTTCGAGTTGAAATAACCTCAGTGATACAGTACTATAAATTTTCTGCAACTGTTAGAACTTATGCTGATGGAATTATCCTTGCTGCATTAGTAGGAACAATACCAATAGTGTATCGAGGTAATCGATTTTGTTTACCGTTATGTATTATGTATCCATATGACTATCCATTTACTCCTCCTCTTTTTTTTACTGACCCAACACCAGAAATGGAAGTTGTTCCAGGACATCCGTATGCAATGCCAAATACAGTTATTTGTCATCCAATTCTTGATAGATGGTCAGAAAATGTAAATACACTGAGTGTTTTGCAGGTGTTTGTGAAAGACTTTTCTTGTATGCCTCCTTTAAGGATGAAAACGTCTATGATATCTCCGTATGCATATTATCCCCCGGAACGGTCACCTTATTACCCATATTCTCAAAACTATAACCAACCAGTTCCAATTCCTTTAAACCAACCTCTACTTCACCCTTTAGAACGTTCTCATCAACTACCATCAATATCTTCTATTTATGCAACAGAAAGTCAACCTTCTATCCCACCACCTCAAATACCACCTCAAAACCAACAACTACCTTCATTTCAAGGTAATATAGATACTCTTTCTACAATTGATGGGTTTGCACCATTCAAAACAAAAGAACGTGAACGTTCTCAATTACCTTCCCATAAGAATTTATGTACAAAATCAAGTGGACCAATGATTACCGATTTAAAAGCATTTGTACTTGGAAAACAACAACATATGAAAGGAAGTTTACCAACTATATCACAAATGGAAGAATATGGGACTCGAACAACACTCACTCCTTTAAACACAAAATAATATAAAAAGTATGTTTCAATTGTTAATTCATCATTAGTAATTTAATGTTTACTGTTTTTGTTTTATCTCTTTTCTTCATTCAATATAAAGTATTTTCATATTCAATTTTATTCATTTAAAAACACCCATTAATTGATTAATAAAATCATCAACTTTTACAACACCTTGTTCATCAATTCCCATAAACACAAACAAATCAGTAATTTCTTTTTGTTCCATATTATCTCCAATAGTAGAAAGTATTCTTCTCAATTCAATTGCAGGAATAAATCCTTTTTTATCTTTATCTAAAACATTAATTGCATTTTTAATTTCATCTTTATTAAATGATTTTGTTTTTAATTGAGGGAAACAAGAAATAAATAATTCATAACTCATTCCTCGTACTTTAGAATTAGAATTATATGTATTTGCAATCGCAGATGTTTCCATTACAACCCCTAACACCCTAACCAATGATTCAAATTCATTTAATGTCAAATATCCATCCCCATCTCCATCAAATAATAAAAATGATTCTTTCAGATCTTCACTGTGTTCTTGCATCGTTTAAATTATTAAGTTCTTTTCTTTTATTTCTTCAATTCAAAGTTATTTTCAAAAAAAAAACATATCTTTAATTAAACTTGAATTGTTGGTGTTTATTCATATATATTCTTTTTGTTTATCACAATTTCTTTATTTTCTTGAAATAAAATAAACTTCATTAAAGTATTATAATAATGAAGTTTAGATACATTGAATGAGAATATGAATAATAATTAATTCATCATATTTAAATGTTTAATATAACTTAATCAAATTCTATTCAAAAAGGTTTTTGTGAGAGTTATATGCAAATTAATGAATAAGTCATACGATTCATTCGTATTACAAATAACTCATTAAAAAATATGAAATTAAGTGCAAAACTAAAATTTTGTTGAGAGTCTCATCTAAAAAATTTCTAATGACTACTTCTCTTATTGACACTTTATTCTGTGTTATTTGTGGATGTCCTTTATTACTTGATGAAGGGATTCGATCAATGACCACACAATCTGGATCACCTATGTCATCTCCATTTCACTCACCCCGAGAAAACCTTACTGGAACATCAGTAGGATCACCTCGTCAACCTAATTGTCCATTAGCATTATCTACTCCACTCCCATTACCTTCAAATACATTAACAGAAAATCCAAGTTCAAGTGCATTAGAAGAACATGAACTATCATTATCACCACCTGAAGTATTATTTTCTTCACCAAAACAAAATTATCAATCAATAAATCAACAATCAAGTTTGTTTTCTATTAATGTTTCACCAATATTCTTTAAATCCTAAAGAATATATTAGAAAAAAATATTTATCTATAAGGAAAAAACACATATAAACTCTCATTTTATATGAAAAGAAGAAGTAAATCTAATAAAGGAAATTCTTCAATGATTATTGCTACTCCTACACTTGAATTTTATCAATGGTTTGCATCAATGGTAGAACAATATTCAGATTTTGGTATTCCTTGTAAAACATGTTTTAATAAAGTTAAAGAAAAATATATTAATAATAAAAATGAATTAAATCAATATATTGAAATATATCAATTAAGTGCATGTACTTTATTTCAAAATATAGCTGATATTAACCAAGAACTCAAAAAGACTGAACAAGAAACAGAAGAATTAATCAAAGAAATTCAAAATTTAGAATTTATTAATGAACATTTATTACAAGAGATGAACAATATTCTTAAAATTTCTGATATTATACAAAAACATATTATTGAGTCATATAAAAATGAAAATCAAATTATTTCTATTGGATATCAAGCATATGAAAAAGTATTAGATCAAAAAAGAATTAATAATCAATTAATACTACCATTACAAAAAACATTAACATGGAATCAATTATTTCAAAGAAGAGAAATTGTTCCAGAAATGTCATCAATAAGTATTATTAATATAGTTAAAAGTGTTTGTTATTTTAAATAGTAATTTAAAAAAGAATATAAGTTTATTTTGGTAGATTCCAATTTCCTCTATTCTTGGAATTTTATTCCTTCAAATTAAAATTTTAGCTAATATGATTAATTACCATTTCAGTTCTGTTATAATTGAACCAATTGATAAACAAAAGAAAACTACTAGTCCTATTATTACATCAAGAAATATAATTGTAAATACAAAAAAATCTAATAAATTTGTATTACAATGTTTATTAACATTATTAACTGAATTATCAACTATTTTAGTTAAAGAATCATCACAAAGTTTCTTTCTTATTTATCCGTTTGTTATTATTAATTAATTAAAAGATTAATAAATAATAATTTTATTAGTATTTCTGGAGAAACAATCAATGGATTAGATTTTATAGGATATGAGTCTAAAAAATGGTCTCAAGCTTTAGATTGTTTTCTAACAAATACTGAATATTGTTATAAGTGGATTATTCGGCATTATAAATAAGGTTTATATGTTGTTAAGTAGTGTACTATGTAGTATATAATGTTAATTAATTTAAAGTAAGAATATTATCAATAAAATTGGTTTAAAAGAGAAAGAGAAACAAAAAATAAAATAAAAATATAATTCAATTACAAAGGAAATAAATTTTTCAGGTTAAAATAAATTTATAAAGAGAATTTTTTAATCAAAAATAAAAAAAATTAAATAAAAAAAAGAATATTCAAGTTTTACAAAAATGATAAACAGACAAACAGACAAATGAAATTTTTTTTTTGTTAAGAACTTTTACAAAGAAACTGAAAAATCAAAAATTAAAAAGAAGATGTCAAAATATACTCCATTTAGTAAAGAAGAAATAGCTAAATTTAAACAAGATTGCGTTGATAATAATGGATGGAAACAAATTTATAGAACTGATGATGTCATGGTATTTACACAAAAAACAGAAGGAAGTGTACTTAAATTTAAATGTATTACAAAACAAATGAATACACTTGAACCAGAATATATATTTTCAGCTTATTGTGATAGAGAATATTGTAAAACTACTAAAACTAATGATGTATTATTTGATGTTGTAGAAAAATTAGATTGTTGTAATGAAATTATTCATAGAGTACAAAAAATGCCAATGATGGATGCTAGAGATTTTGTTTATCAATTAATTAGATATCATAATAAAGATAAAACTGATTATATTCTTTATTCTAAATCAGTTAATTCAGATATTCCACCAGTAAAAGGATCTATTAGAGGACAAATGTTTGTTCAAGGAACTCTTATAACAAAAATTTCAAGTGGAACATTAATTTATTCTCTTTCTCATATAGATATGAATGGTAAAATACCAAGTGCTTTAACTGGAGATACTATGGTTAAACAAATGACTAAAAAAATGATGAAAAGAGCTAAAAAGAATATTGATGGATATCAAAAATGGTCAGATGAACATAAAGATATTAATAAATGGTGGTTAGAAACTCTTGATTGGATGATTGAATAAAAAAAAAATCATAATTAATCAAAATAAATTAAAAAAGTAAAATTTAATTAATTTCTTTTTTTATTGGTTCATCAATTATTAATGCTTCTGATGTTGCAATTAATGATCCAACAGAAATAGCTTCATTAAATGCATTTCTAACAACTTTAGTTGGATCAATTATTCCTACTTTCATTAAATCACAATATACATTTTTACGTACATCATATCCAAATGATCCTGTTCCTTCTTTAATTTTTTGAATAACTATTCCTCCATCAATTCCTGCATTTTTTGCAATTATTCTTGTTGGTTCTTCTGTAACTTTTCTTACAATATCAATTCCTACTTTTTCTGCCCAATTTTGACTACGTATTTTATCAAGTGAACTTCCTGCTCTTATTAATGCAACTCCTCCTCCTGGAACAATTCCTTCTGCAAGTGCTGCTTTAACAGCATAAACTGCATCTTCAATTCTATCTTTTCTTTCACCTACTTCAGCTTCAGATGATCCACCAACTGAAATAACAGCAACTCCACCTGTAAGTCTAGCAATTCTACCTTCTAATTTTTCTTTTTCATAATTTGAATCACTAATTTCTTTAGCTTTTTTTAATTCATTAATTCTTGTTAATACTTCTTTTTTACTTCCTGCTCCTCCAGTAATAATTGTTTCATCTTTAGTAGATACAAAATGTCCAATTTTTCCTAAATCTTTTTCTGTTACTTCTTCAATCTTTTTTCCTACTTCATTTGAAATAACAGTAGCTCCTGTAATAATACCAATATCATGAAGAATTCCTTTTCTTGTTTCTCCAAATCCTGGTGCTCTTACTGCAGCAATTGGTAATCCTCTTAATTTATTTAATACTAATGTTGTTAATGCATCTCCATCTATAGTATCTGAAATAATAACTAATGGTCTTTTTCTTTTTACACATAATTCTAATAATGGAACTACATTTTGTGATGAATTTAATTTATAATCACAAACAATAACATCTGTATTTCTTATATCTACTTTAGTATTTTTTTCATCTGTAGTAAAATAACGAGATAAAAATCCTTGATCAAGAACCATCCCTTCAACAATATTAACAATATCTTTTGTTCCTTTCCCTGTTTCAATATCAACAGCTCCATCTCTTCCAATTTTACCAAAAATGTCACCTACCATTTCTCCAATTTTTTCATCATTATTTGCTGATACTCTTGCAACTGAAATAATATCTTCTTTTAATGTTGGTTTTGATTGTTTTGTAATTTCTTTTAAGACTATATCTTTTGCAATTGATATTCCTTTTAATAAATCTGTACTAGATAATCCTGTATTAATAGCTTGAACTCCTTCACATGCTACTTTTCTTAATAAACATGTTGCTGTTGTTGTTCCATCTCCAGATCTATCATTAACTTTACTTGCAACTTCTTTAGCTAATTTCCCACCTACATTTAATGTATTATCACTAAATGTTAAAGCCTTTGCAACAGAAACTCCATCTTTAGTTACTCTTGGATTTCCATATGGTTGATCAATAATAACAGTTCTTCCTTTTGGTCCTAATGTTACACTTACTGCATCAGCAACTTTCTTTATTCCTGACAATACATTTTCTCTACATTCAACATTTAATGAAAGTAATTTCCCATTGTAATGATTTGAAGATGAAAGCATTAAATGATTATTAAGTTATATAAGATTAAATTATTTCAAAAAATCCTTTGAAAAGTTCAACTTTTTTGAACTTTATTTTTTAAATAAAAGGTACAAATAATGGTATTTTTATTCTTAATAATATTTTATTCATTCTTTATTATAATAACATTTTGTTAATTCATTATTCTTTAAATTAATATCTTTTTTTGTTTTGAATCTTTTTTCTCTTAAATACTATAATAATCAAAAAAAAGAAATTGAGGCTACAGATAAATCCTTTTGTATATTCTAACTACTTGTTTTAATTATTTATTTGAGAGTATTTTATTATTAATTTAATGAAATCAATATTTATGAATATCAATATCAAAATGATTCATTTTTTAATATTCAATAATTTATTTTATACTCTTACTATCTTATCTTTTCATAACTTACAACTACTCCAATTCATGAAATTCAATTTTAATTTTAATAAAGAAAATTTCATTATAAGTTGTGTTGTTTCAAAACAAATTATATTTAAAAAATCTTTTAAAAGTATTAAATCATTTGAATAAATGATATTGTTAATAATAATTTTATGAATGAATATTATCAACAATAAGTTATTTTATTAAATAGAATTGAATAATTCATTTCTAACTTTCTTCTTATTTATTTGATATTAATTATTAGAATGATTCTCATTTAACTTTGGTTTTAATTTGAATGGTAGTTAATTATTAAAATTAATGTTATTAAATCAAATTAATAGTATTTAGTTTGGAAGGTGATTGTATTTCTACTATAATTAAAAGTAGTTGTAATGGTTCATTTAAATATTGTTACATCAATTACATAACTCAATATATTAACATTAGTGATACAAATTCAAATTCATTTAAAACAAATTATTTGAAATAATACAGTTAAACACAATGATATTAAGAAATGTTAGAGTATTTATTACAAATACAATTAATATTATTAATGAAGATGATATTTATTAATTAAATATACAATAATAATACAAATGAAATCTATAATAATTAATTAATCAATAAAGAGATAAAAGTAATAAAGAAAGTAATAACAAATTGAAATTAATAAAAAAAAATAAGAAGAAAGACATTTTAATGAATATAACACACTAGAATAATATTAATTAAGAGAATTCGATTGAATTAAAACATGGTTAGAAATAAAAATAAAATATTATTTTATTATAATTAATTATAATATTAAAACTATTAAAATAAAATAATGTGTTGTTTCATTTTTTGGCTTATCTATATTTAACTTCCAAAAAATATATACAAGTAACTTGGAAAGATTGTTTTTATTTAAATTATATATTATGATCTTTTTGTTTAACAGTAAAAGAAGATTCAATACTTAATTTATAACAAAACTCAAGAATCGTCTTTTCATTTTAAAAGAGAAAACAATCAAATGTATTATTTCAAGTGAAAGGAAAAGTTAAATCAAGAAATCAATAAGGAAGTTAAACAAAACCTCATGAAATCTCGAATACAATCCATAGAAAGGAAAGAGAATCAACTAATTTCTACACTGAGGGTTTTTATTGATTGTCTTCATAAAATAAGGATTGTTCGACATAAAAACCCTATAATCTAGCTATATCAATAGATAAAATGTCTTCACCTTCATCATCTAGCCTTAGTGAAATAAGTCAAAAAGAAGAAAAAGAAATTGAATTAACAAATAATAAAGAAAGTGAAGTGAGAGTTGAAGGAACATATGAAATTGAAGAAATTGAAGAAGTTAAAAAGAAACATCCTAGTATTTTCAATTTAATATTTTTTAGAAGGTCATTTCCTCAAATTATTAAAGGAAGAAAAGGAAGTTTAAATGTTGAAGATATTGGACAAATGCCAAGTAATTTAAACATAGAAAAATCATATGATACATTATTAAAAACATGGGAAAAAGAAATTCAAAAGAAAAATCCATCTCTTATTCGTGCTGTTATCAAAAGAGAATGGTGGCCATTTTTATTATCACTTATTGCAATTTCTATTTCACAAATAGCAATGTTAATGTTTCCATTAATGCTTCAATTTATTGTTGCATGGGTAAAAGAAGATGAACCAAAAAAATGGCTTGGATTTGTATATTGTGGAATTATTTTAATTACTCAAATGATTGATAGTTTTGGATATGAATTTTCTTGTAAATGGATATTTACATTATCAATGAGAGTAAGAAATGGATTAATTGGATTAATTTTTGAAAAAGCATTAAAATTAAATTCAGCAGGAATAGAAGATACAGGTAAATTAGTAAATTTAATGTCTAATGATGCACAAGTTCTTGTAGAAGGACTTCCACTTGTAGTTCTTGGAGCAGCTGCACCACCAATGTTTATATTAGTATATATTGCATTAGGAATAATAGCAAAGATATGGTGTCTTATTCCATTAGGAGTTATGGCAATATTTCTTATTTTAAATGGTATGTTTGGAAAAGGAATTGGAGTATTTTATGATAAATTTGTTCATCGTAAAGATAGAAGACTTGGATTTTTTGGAGAAATTATTCATAATATTAAATTCATTAAATATAATAGTTGGGAAGAATCAATGAATAAAAGATTAAATAAACTTAGAAATAGTGAATTAATTAGATTAATTTCTTTTGGTATGTTTAAAGGTGCATTAATTACATTAATGGTTGAAATTGGACCAACTATGTCATTTATAATGTTTCTTACAATGGTACTTACTGAACAAGAATTTAAAGTTGAAACAGTTTATTCATGTATGGCTATTTTTAATTGTATTAAATTACCATTTCAATCATTTGGATATCTTATTGCTTGTTTAACAACAATTAAAGTATCATTAACAAGAATAAAAGAATTTTTATTAACACCTGAATTAAAACCAATTCCTGTTTCAACAAAATCAGATTCTGAATATGCTATTGAAATGAATAATGTTAACTATAAATTTCCAGATGGAGAAATAGCATTTAATTGTGATGAATTAAAAATTAAAAAAGGAGAATTAGTATGTGTTTTAGGTAGTGTTGGAAGTGGAAAATCATCATTTATATTATCAATAATTAATGAATTAGAAAAAAGTAAAGGAGAATGTATTATAAATGGAAGTGTTACTTATGCATCACAAACTGCATGGTTAATGAATACATCTGTTAGAGAAAATATATGTTTCTTATCACCATATAAAAAAGAACAATATGATAAATCAACTTATAATGCATGTTTAACAAGAGATTTACAAATATTAAAAGGAGGTGATATGTATGAAGTTGCAGAAAGAGGAGCTAATTTATCAGGTGGACAAAGACAACGTATTTCTATTGCAAGAGCATTATATAATGCAAAAGATATTGTTATTTTTGATGATCCATTATCAGCAGTTGATTTTCAAGTTGGATCATTTATTTTTGAACATGCAATTGAAAAACAATTAAGAAATAAAACAAGAATTATTGTCACAAATCAAACATATTTTATTGATAAAGCTGATAGAATTATTGTTATTGAAGATAAAAAAATTGTATTTAATGGTAGTATTGAAGAATTAAGAAATTCAAATTTAGAAGCATCTCAATTTGTTAAAACTGTAAGTTCTAAAAAGAAAAATAATAATAAAAAAGAAGAACAAAAACAAGAAACAACTCCACAAGATGTTTGTGAAACAATTATGGAAGAAGAACATAGAGAAAGAGGAAGAGTTGCATGGAGTGTTTATGGTAAATATTTAAAATTTGGAGGTATTTTATTTTTTTTAATATGTATGATTCCTTTTATAATGAGAACAGGAGCATTAGTATGTTATAATTATTTTATTTCACAATGGAGTAATGGTATTGATGATAATCATTTACAAGGAGATACTAAATGGTTTTATGCACATTGTTATGCATATGCAGCAGAATTTATATTAATGTATATTACAATTACAGCAATGATTTGGTTTGGAGCATCAGCTTCAAAATATCTTCATATGAATTTAATAAAAAAAATTTTTAAAACAAAACTTGGATTTTTTGATGTTACTCCATTAGGAAGAATTGTTAATTATTTTTCAAGAGATTTCCATTTAATTGATTCAAAAATTCCTTCTCAATTAGATCAATTTATTGGACAATGTTGTTCTTTATTAGCTACTTTTATTATTATTTTTATGGCAAGTTATATTTTAATTCCTATTGTTATTATTGTTATTATTGTATTTTTAATATTCCATACATTCTTCATTAAAGCATCTATTGAAATGCAAAGATTAGAAGGTATTACAAGATCCCCAATATTTATTCATTTTGATCAAACATTATTAGGATTATCAACAATTAGAACTTCAAATGGACAAGAAACTTTCTTAAATGCATTAATTAAGAAGATGAAAAATAATACTTTATCATTTTATACTCTTCAAATGGCTAAAATATGGTATTCACAACGTTTAGAATGGATGGGATTTACAATTAGTACTTTTACAGTACTTATTTTAGTAATTCTTAAATGTTGGTTTAGTGTTGATACAGGTATGGCATCTGTTGCATTAATGAATGTAACAAGTATTCCTGCATCAATTTGTATCTTTGCACAAAATATTGTTGAGCTTGAAATTACAATGCAATCAACAGAAAGAGTTTTACAACTTCAAACTATTCCTATTGAAGAAACAAAACAAGTTATTCAAAATTATCAAGAAATACCTGAAGATTGGCCAAAAGAAGGAAAGATTGAATTAAAGGGATATCAATTTAGATATCGTGAAGGATTACCATTAGTTTTAAAAGGAGTAGATGCTATTATTAATGATAAAGAAAAAATAGGTATTGTAGGAAGAACAGGAAGTGGAAAATCAACAATGATGGCAGGATTGTTTAGAATTGAAGAACCTGCTGGTGGGTCAATTCTTGTTGATGGTATTGATACAACAACAATTCCTATGCATACATTAAGATCAAGAATGTGTATTTTACCACAAGAAGCAACAATGTTTAGTGGTACAATTAGAGAAAATCTTGATCCTACATTCCAAAAGAGTGATGAAGAAATGAAACATGTATTGGAATTGGTTAATGTAAATAAAGAATTAGATTATGTAGTTACAGAAAATGGAGAAAACTTCTCACTTGGAGAACGTCAAATGATTTGTATGGCAAGAGCATTATTAAAAGGAGCTAAAATATTAATTATGGATGAAGCAACAGCATCAATTGATATTCAAACAGATATTATGATTCAAGAAATGGTTAGAAAGAATTTTAAAGACTGTACAACATTAACTATTGCACATAGATTACATTCAATTATGGATTCTAATCGAGTTATGGTATTTGATGATGGTCATTTAATGGAAATGGATACTCCAATTAATTTAATTGAGCAAGAAACAACAATATTCAATAATTTGGTCCAACAATCAGGATGTGCTGAAGAACTTAAACGATTAGCAAAAGGAGAAGCATCTATTGCTGAAACATTAAAAGCTGAAGATGAAAAAAAGAAAAAACAAGATGATGAATCATCAGAATCTACTGAAAAACCAAAAGAGTTGATTAATTTAAACACACCATCTGCAAGTCCAATGCCACTTGATGGAACACTGAGTAACAAAACTAAATCACCATTACTCAATTTAAATACACCAATAGTAAGTCCATTACCACATCCTATAAATGATGAGAATGAATCAGTAAGTAAAGATAGTAAGAGTTCTTCATCAGAATAAATTGATTGACTTTGTTTTAATTGATGGTTTATGATAATTAAGAATGTAAATTTCTAAATTATTATTTATTCATTTGTTTTAAATACTGATTTTATTAAAATGTTTACAAATAATGACAAAATAAAACAAAAGTATGATAAAAGTATGCATGACATACTATTTATGTTGATTTATTTTAAAAGACATACATCGAAAAATAACAATTTAATAGACTTTATACGAAAATAAATAATTTTTTAATAAATAATGTTGTTATTAAATAGTTTAAATAGTCAATGTCAAGGTGTTAATAAAATAAAAGGATTTAATAGATAATATGAGAAGCTATAGTTCATCACTATTTAAACTCTTATTGAATTGATTTGATAATCAAATTACTTTACACTAAAAAGAAATTCAATAAATTGTTGGTATTTATTTAATCTACTGTGTATATTCTAAAATGAACGTTAATAATAACCTTGTAATCCATTATATAATACTCTAAATTGTATTTGATATATCCGATATACGTTGTTCTCATTTAAAAGAAAAAATAGAAGAAAATATCTTACCTCTTTCTTTAATCTCTTTCATTTAATTCATTTTGAACATTTATTGTATGAATACATTCGTAAAACACTCTTAAATTTAGTTAATTTAAATAAACCTTATAACACTTAAATAAACATAACTTCCTTTGTCCATAGCTCCATTCTTTTATTTAAATCTTCTTTTATTAATCCCGAAAATATTCCAATCATTCACTCCTTCTTTCAGGTAGTAACTTATATACTATTTGGAGTTTTTTCTTATTTGTATAGATTTGTTTTAAAAAAATCATTTATTGTCTGTCAATAACATACCCTTTGTTTTGAATTTATTATATTATTAATTTCGTTAATCGTCTTTGAAATTTGGTTCTATGCTTTATAAATATGAGTCCAACAACCCTATTAAAAGTAGGTGTTATAACATAACACAAAGTTTAATTTTAAAGTAAGAACAAAAAGAGTGATAATTCAGTTAAAAGGGAAAAAAGTTCATCTATTTAACACAAAAATATCAGACTTGGATTTGTCATCCTTAATCAGGAGTAGCAAATAACTAATCATCATTTACAAATTTTATTTTAAAAATAAAATATTAACAAAATATGTTTTCCATTAAGTTGATTATGGTTTATTGATAAAAAATGAATTTTAATTAATAAACTAAAATATTCCAATCAAAAAACTTAAATTAAAACTTGATTCTTATTTAATCATCAAACCTTATATGCTTTCCAGTATCTTCAGTATTATAATTTGACTTTCTTTTAAACCCACCGTCAGTATTTTCTGGACAATCTATACTCTTATGACCTACTTGTCCACATTTATAACACGTAACTTGATCAGTACTTTCTTGAACTCCTTGTTCAGGACAATTTTTTCCAATGTGTCCTGGCTTACCACAATGGAAACAAACTCTATCATCTGGTTGAGGACAATCTCTTCCAATATGTCCTGGTTTTCCACATTTAAAACATACTTTTTGAATCGATTTATTTAAAGATGCAGCTTCAGGAACACTTGTGTCTCCATTTCGATATCCTTTCTTTTTTGTATTTGCATATTCAAGATAAACACTTCTTCCTTCAAACTCTTTACCAGTCATCTCATCAATACACCTTTGTGCTTCATTAATATTAAAAAAGTCAAGATATCCAAATCCTCGTGACTCACTTTTTCCTTTAAATGTAATAATTCTACACTTAGCAATATTATAATCACCAAATTCTTCTCTAAATTTCCTTGTATTCCATTGTTTAGGAATTCCTTGCACACAAACACTAATATACTTCTTGGTCTCATCCTTATTTTGTTTATCCTTTTCTTCTTGTTTTGTTGGTTTAGTTTTTTTTAATACATCTTCTTGGGGTTCTTCTTTTTTAATTTTGTCTTTGTTAATTTCCTTTTCTTGTATTGTTTCTTCTTTTACCACTTCCTCTTCTTCTTTTTTTTCATTTATTAACTCTTCTTTTTTTTCGTTTATTAACTCTTCTTTTTTGTCATTTCCTTGTTCTTCTTTTTCATTTTTTTCTTGTTCCTCTTCATCTTTTATTATTTCTTCTTTAGTATCTTCTTCCATTCTTGTAACCTCAGTAGTACTTTTTTCTTTTTGATCTTCATCCTTATCATCGCTTTTATCTTTTTTCTTTTCCTTTTTATCTTTTTTACTGTGTTTATGTTCTTTTTTTTCCTTTTTATCTTTTTTACTATGTTTATGTTCTTTTTTATCTTTTTTACTGTGCTTATGTTCTTCTTTCTTTTCTTCTTTAATTTCAGGTTTAGTTATTTCATGTTTTTCGTTTGAAGACTCAGAATCAGATTCAGTATCAGAAACATCAATGACCTTGAAATTTTTTGGAGTATTTAAAGGCATTAGTGGTATTTTAATCAAAAAAAGATTACTAGGGTTTATAAATCAAAACATAAAATTATTTTATATTTGTGTTATTTATTTTTCATCGTCATAACTTTGTATAAAATAAGTTACACATAGTTTTTATGTTACCAATAGTCAAAAAAAACAATGATCTGTGTAATAAAACATTGACATAATACTCTGGCTTTAATACTTTTGTTTTACTAGTAACTGTGATAAAAATAACTAAACTAAACGAGAACTATAAAATTTTAATGTTGCCATTAATTGATTAGATTTTAGATTCTTATAAGTATTATCTAGGACCTATATTCTTTATTATGTTCTAAATTATTTTTCATAAAACACTCACACTAGCCAACACATTTTTTTTTATTGTTAAATGAATTGCCAATATTTAGTTTAGAAAAAAATCTTCTTAATAAAGAAAACAAAACTAAGAAAATAAAAGATTGTTGTTGAAATAGTTTCATTGTTTCGGTTAACAAGTTATAAAAATAATACAGAGAATATAAAGAAATTTTTGTATTGGTTTATGACTTGTTCCAATCAATAAACAGTCAATAAGAATTTATCAATAAACAATTCTACATTCGAGGATGTTTATTAAAAGATAGTCTCATAAATTAAAAATGAAAAAATTTTTTTTAAATATTAATGAAAAAAGCTCAAGATATACTTATCATTTTTTTGTGAATGGTTCTGAAGGAGTAGATTTGGCAATACCTTGATTAACTGTCCAAACAAAAGAGTTAATAATTTATGTAACGTATGAACTTGTCATTATCAAAAAAAGAAGGGTGATATTAAAATAAAAGAAGTTGAAATTGATAACTAGCTTTTTATTTTGAAAAAAGAATTAAACACTTCAAAAACAAATATGTGCTGGTTAGAAGATGTTAATTTTAATAGTTTTTTATAAAACAACTTAAACCAATTAATTTGAAAGTGAGTTATTCATCTTTTTCTTTTATAAACCTTCTAGCTTTATTATTTCGTTCTTTCCAAGTTGTTTGAATAAAATCAAACAACTCAGGGGGTTTTGGAAGTTCTACTAAAGACCACATCATAGGGGCTCTCATAGCAATATCTCCAATTGTTTCTTTTGATGCTACTTGAGACATTCCAACTTCAGTGCCATAATAAACGTACATAGGTCCATCATTCTTTGAAATGAAATTTAAGGCGTGTTTAACTTTATTAATATCTCCATTCATAGTAAACATAATTCTATCCATATCGTGATTGTCAACAAACAACCCTCCTAAAAAGTTTCTTGGATACAACCACTTTCTTAGCCATAATAAAAATTTAAATAAAAACTCTGGTACATACTTAAGTCTTCCATTGCCTGATAGATAATCCCTTATTAGTGTACATCCTCTAATATCTAATACCCCATCTAATACATGAATATACATCATTTGAGCTAATTCTTGACAAATACCATTAAACCCAATTTTTGATAACCACCACAACACCCCTTTCATTGGAGTTTCAATAGTTTGTAAAATTCTTCTTTCACAACCACCAAACCAAACTTCTCCAATTAATAATGGGACACGTCTTTTTAGTTCTTTTGCTTTTTCTTGTAATACTTTTCTTACTTCTTTAAAAAAGGAATTTGGGATTCCTATTGCATGGTCAATCCTAAAGTCATCAGCTCCTAATTCATAGAATTCAAGAAACGCATTTAATAATGATTGTTTTACTTCTGTATCATTATGATTAACTTTCCATAATTCGTTGTACCCCAAAAAATGCATTGGATTACCATCTGGATACCATCTAAATCTTTCAGTTCTAATCCCTTTCATTGCTTCTTCAACCCAAGGATGATAACAGCTAACATGATTAGGGACTATGTCAAGAAGAATAGAAATATTATTTTGATGTGCCACTTCACAGAGTTGTTTAAAATCATTTTTTGTTCCAAACCGAGGATCAACATCATTAAAATCAATAATATGATATCCATGATATGGCATATATTTTGTTATAGTTGTATGATTTTTATATATTGGAGATAAAAAAATTGTAGAACATCCTAATTCTTTCAAATAGTTCATTCTACTTGTAATTCCCTTTAATGTCCCACCAAGAAATTGGTTTGAATTTTCTTTGGTTTCTAAACTTTGATTTTCACTACTAAAACGATCGACAAGGATATGATAAATATTCCCATAATAAAAAGGATGATATAAAGAAATCATTGATAAATAAAATAATATTTTTTAGTCAGTATATAAATTTACTTTTTCTTATTAACAAAAAATGAAAAATAAAAAAAAAAAGAAGAGATATGAAACTTTCCTTATTTTAAAGCCTTTTAAACTGATGCTTCCGCCTCAACAAAAGAAAAAAAAGTCATTTACTAGTTTTGTTAATGCGTGCTCGTATAACCTTTCTTCTCATTTATATAACTCTGTTGTTAAATCTCAATTTAAACCATTTCCATTTAATTTAAAATACGTATTACAAGGAGTTACTTACACTGAGCAACCCACATCAAATAACAATATTGCTAAACACCTTTCAACCATGTTTAGAGTCACTTATAGAAATGGGTTTACCTACCATTTACCTCATTGTAGTTTGACAACAGATGCTGGATGGGGATGTACATTAAGATCTATTCAAATGTTATTTCTTAATTCACTAATAAGACTACAAGAACCAAACCCAGGTTTTGGAGAAGATGCTGCAGAAAAAGTTCAAAAAAATTTTATTATTCATTCAATGGAAGAACGAAGAGAATATGTCCAATTAATTGAGGACACTCCAAAACAAGAAGCTGTTTTAAGTCTCTACAAAATGTTCAATTTAAAGATAGTAAGACAAAATAACCAAAAAGGAACAAATTACCTTTCTCCTTCTACATGTGCAATAGCTTTATCTCAACTTGTAGAGATATGGGATCAACGACCTTGTCATGTTATTTATAGTAATACTTTCCCTAAAGAAATTCAACCAAACACTCTTCTAATGATTAGTGCACCTTTAAATGAAAAAACAATTAATTGTCTTGATAACACTTTTGTAGGAGGTGTGGTGTGTGGTGTTGATACAAAGGCTATTTATGTTTGTGGAAGAACAGGAAATATGTTACTTCTACTTGACCCTCATTTTGTTCAAAAAGCACACGAAGATGGAGATTTTGATATTATTGATTATTCTGTAAAACCAAACGACTTAAGAATGGTTCGTCTAACAGAATTGGTTTTTGGTAATTGTATATGGGGAATATTGGTCAGAGAAGATAATATAGAAATGCTAAAAACTTGGTGTAAAACTTCTCTTGGAGTGACCAATGAAGAAGAGATACGTGAGATGGTTTCTGTAGGTAATGAAGAAGGCTTTGAAGTGTTAGATTTTTAAAAGAATGTTATTTATATCATAAATTAGTTTCATAGATAATTAAAACTATAAAATAATTATACTGAATAACAAATAAAGTAAATTAATTTTAATAATAAAAATATAATATAAAATAGAATTTGTGATTTGAAAATGAAAGAAAACCCTGATTACGAACTTAACTAATCAGTTGTTGGTTCACATGTCACACAGAAAGTTTGAAGCACCAAGACATGGATCACTTGCTTTCCATCCAAGAAAGAGAGTTCATAAAGTAAGAGCTACTGTCTCTGCTTTCCCAAAAGATAATGCTGCTGAAAAACCACATCTTACTGGATTCCTTGGATTCAAAGCTGGTATGACTCATGTTATTCGTGAAGTTAAGAGAACCAACACTAAACTTCCAAAAGATGGAGTTTTAGAACCAGTTACTATTATTGAAACACCACCAATGGTTGTTGCAGGATTTGTTGGATATAAAAAGACTACTACTGGACTTAAACCAATTACAGCTGTTTTTGCTGAACATATTGCTGATGAATTCAAAAGAAGATACACTAAGAAATGGTATAAAAATACTAAAAACCAATTTGCTGTTCATACTGAAAAATATAATGATGTAAAAGCTAAATCAAAGAGAGAAAGACAAATTAGATTAATTAAGAATAGATGTGATGTTGTTAGAGTAATTGCACATACTCAAATGGCACTTGTTCCATTAAAACAAAAGAAAGCTGAAGTTATGGAAATTCAAATTAATGGAGGATCAATTGCTGAAAAAGTTGATTTTGCTGTCTCACTTCTTGAAAAACAAATTAGTGTTAACTCAGTCTTTGGAACTGATGAATGTATTGATGTATGTTCAGTTACTAAAGGACATGGATATAATGGTGTTATTAAGAGATTTGGTGTAAGACATCTTCCAAGAAAGACCCACAGAGGATTAAGAAAAGTTGCTTGTGTTGGAGCTTGGCATCCAGCTAGAGTCTCATGGACAGTTGCTAGAGCTGGTCAAATGGGATTCTTCAAGAGAACTGAAGTTAACAAAAAGATTTACAGACTTGGATGTGGTGATCTTAAGAACGCTAAAACTGAATTTGATATTACAGAAAAAGGTATTACTCCAATGGGAGGATTCCCACATTACGGAGTTGTCAAGAATGACTTCTTGATGATCAAAGGAACAGTAGCTGGTATTAGAAGAAGAGTTATTTCATTAAGAAAAGCATGCTTCCCATCAACCACTAGAACAGCTCAAGAACAAATTGTTCTTAAATTCATTGATACATCATCTAAATACGGACATTCTAGATTCCAAACTACCACCGAAAAGAAAGCACGTATGGGACCAATGAAGAAAGATCTTGAAAGACAAAGAGCTGAAAAGGTTGAAGAAGGAAAGAAACTTTAAGATAATTGAATTAATTATTAATTTTGTTTTATATAACTTTTTTTACAATTAAAAAGATTATGAAAATGGTAAACGTGTTAACCTATTTTTAGAAATAAGAATAATAAAGTAAATCATAAAAAAGTTAGTACTCAAGAGTCATACACACGTCATTCCACATCAAAAATATGAAAGATATTATCATAGTACAATCACAACATGATATTTAAACTATGAAAGGAAACTTAATAACAATTAATCGCAATAAATGACCTCAATGAATTCAAATGAACAAATAATAGAAGCACTTCCTCCAGAATCTAACAACCAACAATTAGCTAAACCAGAGCCTAAATGGATTCACTTATCTAGATACCTTGCTAGAACATCACAAAACAAAGTGTTTATTGATCCAAGTGGAGTAGGTCATTGGAATTCTATGACATGGGAGCCACCATGTGAATTGTTAGATTGTGGAAAAACTTATTTACTCAAATTTGAAGTACCTGGTATTGATAAGAAGTCATTGTCATTACAATATAGTAATAATTGGGTTATTGTTTCAGGTAATAAAAATATGCCAGTGGAAGATGGTGATTTTTGTTTTACTGAGATATTGTATGGTCAATTCCGAAGAGAAGTTCCTGTTCCTGTAGACGCAAGCAAAGATGGAATTAAAGCTTATTATCAAGAGGGTATTCTTTATGTTAGACTAACCAAAGTAGAAAATAGCCAATGGGTACATGTAGAAGTTAATTAAATTACTTACAACAATTTTGATTTTTATATTTATAAAATAATAAATAAGAGAGTTATGTAAATGAAATAGACCAATTATTGAATATTAAAAGCAATTGTTTATAAAAAATATTTAAAGATATTGTATTATGATATAAAGATTATTTTATTTAATAACCAATTAATATTATAAAAAATAATTTTAAATATTTTTATAATAGAGTTAAACCAGAAAAAGAGTAAATATTAATTTTTCAATGATTCAAAAAATTGGACAACTTCTTCAGAATGATCTTCTTCTTCTTTATATGTGTCAATAATTTCCATACAAGCATCTAAATATTCTTCATAAACGTCAGGTTCTTCTGATTTTAATGTTTTATTTTTTAAGATAGATTGAACAATACAACAACAATCACTTCCTAATAATTCAAGACCTTTATCTTCTAACAAATCACAAATTGACCCAATAAATTCAGCAACTTGGATAGTATCATTTAAATATGTAATATAATCAGCAACTTGTTGTAATATAGCCATTCGTTCTTGTGGGAAATGGTTTTCTAATTCACAAATATCACCTAATTTATCAATAACTACAGACGCAACTTTAGCTTTTGATGCTTCAGGGAATAAAGAAAAAATACGTGCTCCAAATCTAAGCCCTTTTTCTTTTTTTAATACTTCTAATAAATTTCCTGATAAAGCATCAGCAACAGTTCGACTTATTTTTTCTTTTTTTGTTGCCAAAATTTGAGACACTTCAGGAATCATATATTTTCTATTATCATCATTAACTGCTTCAAGTAATCGAATGTCATTAAATAAAACAGCTTGAAGTAACATTTCTTCTAAACAAAGAGCTGAATCATATTTATGTAATTCTCCTAAAAACATAAAATCATTTTCTTCTCCACAAGATAACTGTAAAGCACTAAAACAAGTTGTACGAGATGGGTCTACACCAGTTAAATCAAATGGATAATGATGACAATGTGGATAATAACTTGTAACACAATCGTCAAGTGTTTTATGTAAATGAGAATAAATTGATGCCATTGATCCTATAGGAGCATTTTCATGTTGCATATTAAAAGCGATTTCATAGTACTGTTCTTTATATGCAAAATAAGATTGAACACTTTCAATGGAAGCAAAGAAAGTATTTCTAATTTCTTGATCAGTCATATACTCACATTTTGGGGGTTGGTATTGATGAGAATCAATAAAGAAATCATGACCTATACCAATAGGTAAAAGAGTGGGATGTCTTTTTCTTAGTTCTTCATTGACCTTTTTAATTTCGTTTCTTTTCTCTTGAGTTAATCCACCTCTATTATACCGTTTAGTAAAATGCTCGTGTCCATTCTTTTCTTTGTCATCTTTTCTCTCTTCTTTTTGATGATAATTATTATAATATTTTTTTCCTTGTACTTTGTTTAATTTTTTTCGTTCAAAGAATTCAGGTTCTTCTTTTGGTATTTCTTTTGGAATATATCCGATAACCCCACTCTCAATTTTTTGTCCCCTTTGACGACGTCCTCCTCTTTCTTGTTTACTCATCTAATAATTCATTCATTCTTTATTTATTTTTCTTCTTTTTTATTTTTTTGTTTTTTATCATTAAAATAATTAATTTTATTAATAACAATTTGATTTAAAAAAAAAATAAAAAACAATAAAATAACAAAAAACATTCAATCAATAGAAATGAAAGACAAAAAAATCTTATAGATACGTATGAGGTTAAAAGTTTCCTTTAAAATATTCATCTTTAAGACTTAAATCATGTGAAAAGTTACAATGTTCTCCTTTTCTACATACCCCTGTTTCAAAGAAATATTTGCATGGTTTAGTACGATATAATTTGTCAACTGAAATGAATTGTTTTGAATTTTGTTGACAAAAAGAAGGATTGTTTAAAGATGAAATGTCATGAGAGAAAGTACAACTCCCTCCTTTCTTGCAATACCCATTTTGCATAAAGAAAATACAAGGTTTTGTACCATATTTTAAATGTTTTTGAGGAGAATCAGGAATTTCTCTATTATTAAACATTGAAAAGTAGAAAGGGTTTGAAAATGGAATTTCTGGCATTGAAGCAGTATTAGAAGTTACAAGACTATTGGTTTGTTTAATAGGAAGATTTTCAGTTTGATTTTTTAGACTAAAATCAACTGATTTACTATCTCTTTCTCTCTTATTAACTATATCTGGAGATGAACGAGCAGAGTGAGGATCACTTAACGATTCTGGAAAAGAAGAAGAGAGTAAGAAGAAGACATCATCGGAACCAACCTAATATAGTTAATAATATAATTTATACCACTAAGACAAGTTAACCACACTCTGAGATTTTCCAAATGGTAATATAAAAAGAATAAAAAATAAATTTGAATACTAGTAGTAGAATAAACATAACTCAAAAAAAAAATATCTACTAATATTCTATTGTATTTATGCCATTGTCATCAAATCTCAACTGCAATATCTGCAAAAAGTGCGACAAACTTGATCGGTTGATAATTCATCTTCTCCAATAACATCCATTTGAAGTAAAGTGTTAACTCCAACATAAGGAGTGTCATCATTGTCTAAGAAGGCATCAAAAGCACTAAATTTGTTCATTTGATATAACTAAGTAATATTAATTCTGAATAAACATTTTAAGATTTTTCCTTAAATAACAGAATGTACACGTTGATAATAAATGAGATCTCTTCTTTCCTTTCGTTATTTGTCTGTTTCGTTTAATCCTCAACTCTTTTCATTGAAAACTTGTTATTTTTTAAAGAAAGTTTTTTGATTTTTGTTAATCAATTACTATCTTTATATTATAATATTAGTTTTTCTATTTTGTGGTTTTATTTTTATCTAAAAGATAGAACAATTCAGAACTAATAATTTTATGATGTTTCTTATTTTTTTCTATTTCTTTCCTTCGTTTTGTTTCTGAAACAGAAAAGTTTGGAAGATTTAAACAGTTTCAATTTATTAGTTCCATTCATATACGTGGTGTCATATGTTGATATATTATAAATAGAATTGATATATTTTTGAAAAAAAATCATGAGTTTGACAATACCTCGAAACTAAAATTGAAGTAGTTATAGGAGATTGTTTTTCAGAGGGAAAGAAAAAGCAAGAAAGATTGAAAAATTTTGTTTAAGAAAAAACAATTAATGAAACTTATTAAAGAAGAAAGATAAATAACACAAATTTAGGATTTTTAAAGCAAAAAGAAAAAGTAGATGTTATATGAAAGAGGAGAAATAAAGAAAAAAGAGAATAGAAATGAAATGATCAAATCTCAATATTTAGTGATTGAAAGATGAGTGTCCCTCTAGCGAAATCACATAATAGACCTGTTTCTTTTCGTCCTAGTCAAATGCAAACTGTTCGGTCAATGGGGAAATCTGAATATGGGTCATTAGATATTACCCCAAGAGGAGAATATTTTAACACTTCTACACCAACACCAGTTATTGAACCAAACCAAATCAAAGTTATTGATGTTAAATCAGAATTGCAAATTGATTTATCTACATTAAAGTGTGTTATTATTCATATCGTTACTGTTCAATTAGATTTAACAACAAAATATTTATTCAAGAAATCAACAGATATACACGAATTAGATTTATTTATTCATTCAGTCTATGATCCTAATAGCACATTACATCAAAAATTAAATGTTTCAGGTACAAGGGATAAAACACCATTATCAATAATTTCAATGGATTGTTTACCAACAGACAATCATCCTAGTTATAAAATATCATTATCTCCTTTAAGTAAAAATTCAACTCCACCACTTGATTCATGGGAGTTATCAGAAAATCATACTAAATCATTTGGTAAATCAATGTCTCGTTCAGGTTCCGTATTATTATCTCCAATTTCTTTAACACCACCAAAAGGTGTTATAGTTTCACCAAAACAAGTTCCTGGTCTTTCATCAACTCCAACTGATAAAATAAACCTTTCTTTTAATTCTTCAGTCTTAAGAACTTCTCCACAAACCAAATTACTTCTTAAAGAAAAACGGGATTACTCTCAACCTATTACAAATTCTTCTTCTAAACTAAAACAAACATCAATGTTCATAAGTCAAAATATTATTAAAAATACATTTAATAACGAAACATGTGAAGCACCCAAAACTCTTACTCCACCTACAGAGACAGAAAAATTATTATCAGAAAGAAATGAATGGGAAAAAGAATTACCTCAACTTCCATCAAGAAAAGATGGATATCCATTACGTGATGTTGGTTTAAAACAGTATTTATCAGAAGTTATTACATTAGAAGGAGCAACTGACATTTGTTATATTTATGAATGGTTTGTAGAAAAAAAACAATCAATTCCATTTATGTCATTAAGACATCCAAGGGTATGTGGATACTTAATGAAACAATCATATATTTTTGGAACATGGACAGAAAGATATGTAATTATTAAAGATAATGTATTAGTATATTTTCCAAGTGATAGGTGTATTCAACGATTAGAATTTCCTAATGATATATTACAATTAATTGGTTCTGAAATAGAATTAAATGAAAATATTATTTCTATTAATTTAATTAATGGTATGTCATATACTTTTCGTGTTGATGAAGGAAATGTTAATGAATGGATGTTAGCATTAAATTATGCACAACAAAAGAAAAGAAGACAAAGAAAATATAGTGAATATAGTGAGACACCAAGAAAAGGAACAGATACTATTAAAGATGATTCTGAAGAAAAACATATAATAAATAAATTTTATGCATTAAAAGAAGAGGCAAGAAGAATTAGTTTAGTTTATGAAGAAATGAGTGATAAAAATTCAGAACAAATGAAAATATTTCAATTATTTAGACAATTAGAACGATTGAGTTATGATGACATTTGTTCTAAAACATTTATTAATCAATATTTACATAAACTAAAAGATATTACTACAAATAATGCTTCTGATTTATTAGTTTTTCATTATTTTCAACAATTCAATGAATTTATTTCTCTAACTGCTGTGGTAAAAAGAATTTTAGAAACTCCAGAAACACCAATTATTCAACCAAGAAATAGACAATCTTCTATAGGAAGAAGAAATCAAGCATCAATGGCAATGTCACCATTAAATTCTCCTAAAACATATGATAAAGCAGGTCTTCGAGTAGCAATTTGTCGTATGTGTGAAAGAGAAATAGAATTTGATGTACTTGCAAAACATACCTTTTATTGTAAAATGTGTTTTGAATTATGTTCAAATGAACCCAGTTGTAAATTAAGGTTACAAATATTAAAAGATCAGTTATTAAAACAAAAACAAATACAACAAGGAGGAATTAATTATGATGGAGTTATTGAACTTACTGAAGAACTTTCAAATATTACTAAATTATCAAGTAAAGTATTAGAACAAATGAATAACTCAATCACTATGCTTGAAGAAATTACAACTCATTCTGTTGATGTATGTTTATCTGCATTTGCAGGAATGATTTCTAAAATTGTTAAAAGAAGACTTTTGTTAATGAAAAATTATGTTTCTAATCATTCAATTGATATGTGGACATATACCTCATTATGGGATGGTAATGTTCATGTTGAAGAAGCATCAAATGGAAGTGTTTCATTAAAAGATTTCGATGTTTTAAATAAGTTTAGTAGTGGGGCATATTCTCGTTTATATCTTGTAAAAAAGAAAACAACAGGAGATGTATATGCAATGAAAGTTAGTAGAAAAGCTGATATGGTTAGAAAGAATGTCGTTGATGGGGTATTAGCTGAAAAACAAATTCTTCAAAAATCAGTTAATCAAAGTGTTGTTAAATTATATTATGCATTTCAAGATAAATGTAGTTTATTTTTAGTTATGGAATTTTGTCCAGGAGGAGATTTGGCTTGTTTAATTAGAGAAGTAGGAAGGCTGTCTGAAGTTACTGTTAAGATATATTCAGCAGAAATAGTTTTAGCATTAGAATATATTCATTCTTTAGGATGTATTCACAGAGATCTTAAACCTGATAATATTCTTATCGATGCAAACGGACATTTAAAACTTACAGATTTTGGATTGTCTGTATTTGGATATAAAAGTGAACAAAATTCTTTTCTGGATTCAAGACTATTATGTACTCCTGATTATGTTGCACCAGAAGTTATTAATGAAAGGTTATATTCTACTGTGAGTGATTATTTTAGTTTAGGATGTATGATTTATGAAATGCTTGTTGGTGTTCCTCCATTCAATGACAAGACACCTGAAGCTATTTTTAAACGAATTCGAATGAATGACTATCATTGGCCAACTGAAACAAGTGATGATGAAGATCTAATTTCAGATAATGCATATTCTATAGTTAATGCATTATTATTACCTGAAGAAAAGAAAAGGCTTGGAGCAAAAGGAAGTGAAGAAGTTAAGAATCATCCATTTTTTGAAAGAATTCGTTGGAATACATTATTAAGTGAAAGTAGAGAAGATATATTTGTTCCTCGATTAGATAATGCATGTGATACAGGATATTTTTCAAGAGAAACCAAAGAATTTTCTCCTGCATTAGGAG